AAAACACATATTATATGAACCATTGGAGTTAATTGAAGCAAAAAAAAGGATCACAAATGTATTTAAAATCTTATTTTTTTTTAGTAGTTGAATTTATAACTAAATGTTGATTGTTTTGTTTAAATAAATAGTTAAAATTTATGAATTTTCAAAGTTAGAATTAAGACTGAATGACCCCTACTCTTCAGAATTCTGGACATCGAAGCTTTGGATACTTTATACTTACCCATAAAAGAAGCATTACAGGAAATGAAGCTATGGAATAACGTTAAAGAAACTTTATTACCCAAGCAATTATCTAACAAGCTAAAGAGATTCATTATAAATCAAGTTAAGACTGGTAATGCTTTAATACCAGATGATGGAGATAATCTGTTGTATTGTAAAACTCAAATTTTAATTGATTCAATGTAAGTTATATTTATGTAAATCTAATAAATTTATTTTATTATGACGAAGTAAATTCTTATGATGTATTTCTATTTAATTGAAAGAAAAAGATTATAGAGAATGCCTATATTGCAGTTGTATTCAACTAAATTTAATGAATCATCTTGGGAACATTATATTTTACAACCAATTATAAATTTTATTGCAGATTTTAAAGAATCAGATATATTTATTAGATGGTATGCTAAACCTATAAATTAATCACAATTTAAATTTTTATAACAAAATTTTATTTATAGGGATACAATTATAAATAAAGCTAGTTTAGAAAGAAATAATACAAAGGGACCAATCAAAAAAAAAGACATATATGGAGTGTATGAAAGCAGTGGACAGTTTAGTTTAGAACTTATTTTAGGAGAAATTTCAATGGCCCATTTAATTAATTCTCTCAGACTAAGTATATATAAAAGAAGACAGAAAAAAGTTATCAAATATGGAAAAGATGCAATAGATTTTATAATTAATAATTATGCCAAATCACATAATTATGATTCAGTAAAAATACAAGAAATCAATATTTATTTATTATACGCACATGGTTAGTAATTTTAAATATATTATATATATAATCATAAAATATTAAAATTGATACATCTATTGTAAATTTAGTGAATTTTTTATAATTTATTATTATTGATAGAAGAATCACACTGTTATATCGGATAAGAAGATTAGGAATTGTCAAAATTCCTTTTCTGAATAACTCACTGACTAAACTAATAAAACTAATTCAATTCCTTTATACATTTGGTATTCACATTGAAGAGAATTTAAGACTTATAAAAATGATGTTCAATGAGAATTTGGATAAAGTTTATTTTAGCAATTATGGCAGTAAGGATAAAAATTATCTTAGCAATTACGGCAGTGAGGATAAAAATTATCTTAGCAATTATAGCAGTGAGGATAATAATAATAATGAAAAAAAGGTCTTTTATAATGATGAAAGGGAGGAAAAACATAAAGAAATTAGTAATAGAATGTTTATATTTATTCCAACATATAATACGCCTAGATCATCTATTAATCATAACTAATTAGTTAATAATAAATATCACGGCTGAAATTTGAAATAATTTTAACATGAAATTTTAAAATTTTTAGAATACTTGTTTTTTAATTTTTATGATTGATATGATTTAAAATTATCAATGCATAATTTATTGAGAATTACAAACTTTTTCATAATTGTCGATAACAATAACATTTGAACCAGCAAGCCCACACAAATAAAATTATATTCATTGAAAATTAAACTACTTACCGTTAGTAATTTGAATTCATAAACAAAAATGCTTTTTCTTCTTAGAATAAAATTGATTAAATAATTTATATAGTTAGAATTTTAGTTTCAAAAATCAAATATAATGTATGAATTGTTTTAAATATCTTATTTTGACATAAAATATATATTTTCTAAATATATTTAAATGGGTAGAAGATAAAAAGATTTGTAAAAAATATAGTTGATTAGTTGGTTAACGTCACCCTCCTAAAAGAGCCTTTTCAAATTCCTTTTTGCTATCAGCATTAAGTAGCATAGAATTTATAAATCCACTTAAATCTTTAATTGTTCTACCTATCAGAATAAGGCCGTTCAAAGTTGCGTTGTTGTGGGCTGTCCCTGAAAATTAAACAAGCTAATCACAATACAGGATAGTCATGTGATTAAGGTTGACCAATGAAATCTAATCAAATATTCTGTGTCATATATGTGTTTATTTAAATTCTGAACCAAGTTTAACTTTTATGAATTTGTTATTCATTTTATTTTTTGACGGTATCAGGATGCCGTCAGAAAACGAACTGGGTTTAAGATATGCTAACCATTTAATGAATTGTCATATTTTGGCTCATAATAACTCATAATATGAGTGCTGCGGAGTGAAAACTTAAATATTCAGTTCCAGGTTTTCACTCTGCAGTACTCATATAATAGATTCAGGTCT